ACTTCTCCATAAAAAAAAAAAAAAAAAATATCAGTGGTCCACAGAAAGAGTAAAAACAAATGTTCTGATGACCACTATGCATTATTGATTTCTAAGTTCACACCACACATGTGTATGTATAATACAAATCAAAGTTGATAAATCTAAAATAATTATGCTTTTATAGAAAATTTTAAAAAGTGCTTAATGTTTGGAAAAAAAAAGAAACATTGATTTAAGATCAAATTAAGAAAAATTATGTGTGCGCACAGACACAGTTATTTCAATTTGTTTTCATGTTCACAGTTCCACTTTTGTCTTTGAAGCTGTTCTAAAGAGATTTTATTTTATTATTATAGATATATCCATGTTTGAGAATTAAAAAAAAAAAAAAAAAAAAAAAAAGATATGTCAAAAATAAGGAAAAAAAAAAAGTCATGCTACTATCATTTGTAAAGAATGCAAATCAAAAATAAGACTGGCAAAATTTACATTCCTTTTCTCCTGGATTCCTGTTAACAACTGACTTCCCATTTAGACCATACAGTTTTCTGACAGTAGTCATTTAAATCAAAATGTATGGTCATTTTTTTTATCTTCCCTGACAAATAATAACAGTCCCAAAAAGACAAAGATAATCTTCAGAAATGTATAACTATTTTATCATACTGAATAAAATAAAACAACTAAATTTATTATTTAAAAATTAGAAAATATTAAATTCATTTGATTATTTAATTTTAAATGATCACTCTTTAAATTCCCTACTCACAAAAGAATAAAATTATTTAACACAGCCTAAAATGTTCCTATATAAGAATGACATATACTCTTTGTTACTAACTGCTTATAAATATTTACTAAGCTTATTTGGTCTCACATAAGACCAACCCACTGACTGCCTATATAATCACAGAACAATGTTTCCTCAGTGCCTTGATTAGGAAGATTATTCTTATTCTATGATAAGCTTACATTATTCACATGACAACTTCTAGAACAAGAAATGCTTTGAAAAATATTCAGTAACATTCATGAATTTGTAAATAGCATTTATGCATAGGACTTTAATTTCACATACATTTACAATATTCTAGTTTATGTATACAGAATATTTCAGTGCTTAAATTACCAAATTCATTGATTAAAAACAAAAACAAACAATGAAGTAGCTGCTACAAACTTTGCCAATATAAAAAACAAAACAAAAAACCTTTCCTATTACAATATTGTTATCAATTTATGCCTTTTACATTAGTATTTATACCTTTCACATTCAATAGATTTATTTATAAAACCAACAATACATACATATTACAAGATGCCCACAACTACAACTTCTTTAACAATACAGCAAGAAAAATTGGTTTCCTTGCGTTTTTTTTTTTTTTAACTGATCAAAATAATTACACAAGATTTCAACACCAGGTAGTATCTGTAATTTGTATAGACAAGTAGGTATTGCAAGTATTTTCTCAACAAAAGTATTTGGTAATCAGTCTTTGTAGAGATTTGTTGTATTATTAGATTTTATATTCATATTTTAAATTTTGTTGCAGTTGGTTGAATTTATTCAATGCTGGAAATTCATTCCTTGCTTTCAAAACAGAATAGTCAGGATAAAAAGAATTAAGATGAATGAAAGTTGAAAAAAAAAAAAAAATAAAATAAATGTTATGAAGCAAAAGTCTTGATAGTGATACTAATAAAAGAATCAAATACTGTCTTACAGAATGTACATTTGAGAAGTTAATGAAAATATAACAGTGAAATGAACTGTACCAGTTTATTTAAATTACATTAAATATCAATCAACAGCAGTATCAATCAGATAACAGATAGAAATCATGTTTTAACAAGTAGTGTCATTTGTTTGAAGTCAAACAAATTAAAATGAAATTTGTATGAAATGAGCATTGATTTCAACTGGAAATTTGTTCATAAAAGAAATTAGTCATTTGATTGGTTACATCTACACCTGATTTTGCTCATTTCCTTTTTTTTTTAACCATCAAGACTGCTTCACTTGCAAAAGAAACAAATTCAATACAGAATAAAAGTATGGCACCTTTTGCATTCCACTGAACACATGGTTTTTCCCAACTAATCACACTTTTATGCACTGTGAACAACTACAAACAGCAAATTTAAGACACACTTGTGAAAAGAATGTTGACAATGAAAACAAATTGCATTGATATAAAGAGCTTCCTCATCAGAACATGAGCTGCCCTGTGAAGTGGAATGCATACACTAAAATGGATTAAATATCCATTTTAAAAGTAAAAACCCCAAAAATAATTAACAAAGGCTTTTGAAATGAAATACCCTGTTAAATGAAGAGCATAATAGCAATAAGGCCTCTAAAGTGTTCATATGATCCTATGTGAAAGAGACCAAAATGTTTCATAATTGTACTAAGTTGGACTACTATAATACAAAAAAAACTGGCAGATTCATTGGAAGATATGAAGATGTGTCAAACAATTATTTCTTCGTTTTGAAAAGGATTTAGTCATACATCAGTGGTACACTTGTATCTTCTGAAGAATTGTGGGTAATCCATATTTGGAAATTCCTGAATGAGGAAAAGTCTGTCCCTCATGTTTGCCAAAGGTTAAAATTATTTTTCAATAAGTTGCTATTGTTTTGCCTTAAAAAATGACTATGTTGAATGAGAAGAAAACAAGATTTACATTTCAAAGCCCAGGTTTTAAAATTGAAAAGAAAAGTATCTCTTACCCATTTGGTCACCTAAACTGAAGACAAAAATTGATCAGATTTTTTTTTTCTTTTAATTAATTTTTATACTTTTTTCTTATCAATCTCAATTTGAAAAATTATCTTTAAATTTATGGAAAAAAGACAGATAATACAAAAAACAATCATATTAAATACAAATATAACAATACTGCAAAAAGCATATTTCCCATTCACCTTTTTTGCTTATCACTATCAAAAAAGAAGCAACATTTGAACAGGGATATGGCTCTACTGCTACATACCAATAAACACAGTAAGTAGCAATATGTGTACTTTGTACAATTCTCAAACTTTAGCAAAAAAATTAAAATGTACAATTTGCCTTTTCAAGCTGAAAAAGCTGTCATATTTCAAGCAGATTTATGCAAAATAAAGAAAACTAAAGATACATTTTCAGAATTAAACACCATCATAAGTTAATATCTATATATAATATTAAATAGACAAATAAGCTTACACTAATCAAGTGTCTACTTTAAGAGAATAAAGAGTGCATTCATTTAAAACTTGATATATTAAAAAGATCAGTAAACTTTAAAATTTATTTTTCCACAATAAATTATTTCTAATTTGACATTATACTTTCATAATTTCACCCAAGTAAATAAATTCAACACTTTCATCAGAAGCAAATTTTCAAACATTAGCTGTGCAGTTGCCTCTTAACTATATTACATTACAAATCATTATATTTTCACCAATATTAGTAATAGCTCAGTTTAAAGGGAGTTAATTTTATTAAATATAATGATTTGAAGATTGATATTAAAGTCAGTATAAACGGAAATTATGTCCAATAATTGTTTCAGTGTATTTGGAATTAATGTTAAAAAAAGTCAGATTGTTTTAACTGAGTGATACACCCAAACCATAGGCATGGTTTTGAATATTTCACATTGCCTTTTGAGAAATAAAACTCATTTGAAAAATTTAAGATCATAAGTATATAATCATATAAGAAAATTATATGATGAAAAGCTGCAAAAATTACTATTTCTCATTGTAAAAATTGAAAGATGCCTTTAAACTGCAAATAAAATATATCTGATCATATAAAGTTTTCTTTTTCTTTGGTGAATAAGTTAGAATGTTTTGGTTTGTTTTTCTTCAAAAGTTGCTCTTTTCATAACTTGAATATCATCTTTTTTAATGATTTTCCAAATTCAGGAATTTATTCAACTAATATTATCATGCATTTTGTTATTATATTGTTTTCATAAGTACATTCTGATAATTTTAAATTATGAAGCTTTTTAGTTGCCTCAAATATTGAGGCAACTAAAAAGCTTCATAATAGAAGTCCTGTAACTCCAAATTTTTACTCAAAGATGGTTTGAAAACGTGCAATTGTTTTTAATTTAAAGATTGATAATGATGACATATTAGTCTAAACTATTCCCCGAGTTACAATTTTACTTTAATTCAGAAAATAAATGCATACATTGGGAAAAAAAAAAAAAAAAAAAAAATTTTCAAATCAAGTTATTTTCTTTTTTATTTAATTTGAATAAACTTAATTGAAGCCAAAAAAATTTAGTATTGTCTTTAACCCACTGAATTATAGATAGCCATAAAGAATAAACAATAAAAAAATAAGGGAATCTATGAAAATAATTGTTTATGAAAATTGCACAATTTTCATCAGGAATTTCAAATTTATCAGCAGCCTTTTCTAGCTTTAAAAGTTTTTGTATTTTTAAGATTTTCAGTCAATATTTGTTATCAACAAAAAGTACAGAAGTAAAATATGTGAAATTAAAATAATAAAAAACAAAACTGAATAAACTGTAGATTTAACATTGGAGATGAATTTTAAAATTCATCATTAACTAAAACAATAGAAGGAAAATTCAGGCAATAGAAAATACACAGGTCTTCCTTTTAAATCAATAGGCTCAAGTGCAGATCTCTTAATTCTGATCACAGATTTTAAATGTAGCAATTCAGAAATTAAACACACTTAAGAGCTAATATAGAAATGGCAATTAAACAAACATTCAAGATTTCAGTTAAACAATTACTTTTTAATTTTTTCAGATTTAGACATTTTTAAAAAGCTTGGCCATTTTAATGGACATTCATACTCATTTGGAACAATTCCATCACATTTGGATTCAAAAAAAGAAAACAAGGGAAACCAAATTTTTGTTCGTTTTGAATCTTTTTGCATTAAAGCTCGATTGTTGGCTAATGTATGGTAATAGAGGAAAAGACGAGTTGTGATGTAGAAAGCAATGAAGACATCAATAGAATAGTGTTCATGAGCTGCTAAGATAAAGAAAATACCAAACAGGTTTAGGACCCAAGTTATAGTGTGAATGTAATAAAATCTTTGGCGTGATGTATCTGAAAAAAAAAAAAAAAAAAACACGACAAAATTATATTACAATATAGAAGAGATTATATTTATTTCACATGTTAAGAAAAAAAAATTTCAAGCAAGTATTTAAAAATTATTTTTTTTATAATTATTTTGCATTTTAAACTTCTTCCTCTGATTATTAATAAAAATGAATAAGAAATGATTAAAACAGACATTGCAATAATAAGGAAGTTTTGAATTCCTTTCAGCCACATTTTCTTCAGACAAAATAATTTTGCAAAAACCAACAAATTTAGTAAAGATAGTTTCATGTATCATTCAAATAAAAATAAGTGATAGATCACTACTGTGGTTTACAAAATTACTAATGTTTGTAACCTGTAATGTCACCAGTGCAAGGGAGATAAGTCTAGATATCTGTACTTATGCCACCACATAGAATAATAACTGGAAAAATATATTTAAATATTTACACAACAAAACATAACTTTTTTTTTACAGTAAATTGCATTACAAACAAAAACGAGCACAATTAATTTAATTAAAAAATACTAAATGACTAATTAACTAATTTGTGTTTAACATTTACTAATCACTTCTACACCAGAATTCCTCAATATTTTATATTGATATTTTGAATTTTTCACAAGGACTTGGCTCTTTCCCTACCTTTACTATTTCAATTACATTTTTTAATAGTTCTTAGTTAAAGAAACTATATTATTATTGCATAAGAAATATTTGACATAAAGCAAAATGAATTAAACAAGTATCAAGAGAAAAAAAAATTCAAATTAAGCATTGATTACATTTTTTATATAAATTACATTACAAATAAAATAAGTATCAATTAATAATTATTACTTATATTCTGTTGAATTAAGAGCAGATCATAAATTGTATGAAGAGAAATGTCTGTAATATTCTTTATAATATTGATAGCAAAAGGAAAAAATTAAAATTGCAGTAACCAGAATTTTTTCTAAATCATATTTTTTATATAAAATGTATTGAATTTTATTCTTAATTTCTCATTTATGTATGTATAATTTTTTAATGTTTTATAATTAATTTTACCTTTACATATATATATATATATATATATATATATATATATATATACATGTGCGTGTGTGCAGATATGTAGAAAAATAGGAAAGAACACGTTAGGTAAATAATCCGGAGTTCTTTAGTATTTTTGTTTTTATTTTTTTTAAAAAGTGCTCCATACAGAAGTAGAGCTTAAATTATAATTATTTTTTTAAAAATATGATTCCTTCGCTACAAAATAGTTCTCATATTTCAAAAACGAGAGTCAAAAACCTCAATGTAATTATTAAAATTAAATTGAATTAAAGTATCAAGCCCTGTTTCATCCTCAAGCAAAAATTTAGGAATAACCAATCTTGAAATGTCCTTAATGACTAATTCACTGTGCGCGGTTAGATTGCATAGTACAAATAGACTGACAAGATCAGAAGACTCTGCAGAGTCTAAAGATCCCATGGTGATGTCAAAATTGTCATTAGTGTTTTTAATCCATTGGTCCCCATTATGGATGAGGACAGATTTTTTTATGTACATTTCTTCTTTAGTTAAGTCAGAATATACAGTAGCAAACTCCAGGGAAGTCATGAAGAGATCTCTTGATATTGACTGGTAATAATCCATCGGGCTATACAGGGATGACAGGCTCATGGTAGTGAGGAGCTCCACAAATTTTAAAATAGATAAAATTAGAAAGATAATATATAGTGAATTCAGAAAACTAAACTTAAAAACTACTAAATTAAAAATGGTAACTTCCTTGACATAACTCTAGACTTAATGAACAACATATACCTACCTTACAGAAAACCTAACACTAATCCCTTGTATGTACACCCTAAGTCAAACAACCCTCATCTATAATTAAGCATATACCCACATCAATAGAGAAAAGAATCAGCATGAACTCCACTAATAAGGAAATATTTCAACAATACAGTAATTTTTATAACACAGCCCTAAAAAATAGTGGATACAAAAACGGTAACATAAATTATAAAAACAATAGTACTAACCAGAAGAAAAACAGGAAAAGGAAAATCATTTGGTATACCTCTCCATTCAACCAAATGGTTCGTATTAAGCTAGGACATAAGTTCCTAGCTTTAATTGAAAAATACTTTCCTACTAATAGCAGACTTAGCAAGATCTTTAATAAAAACACATTAAAATTAAGTTAGAGTTGCACTGAAAATCTAGAAAAAAAATCATAAAAAAAAACAATAATAAAATCCTGGAAAAACAAGCATGCCTAAACAGTATTAATAAAAATCCTAAACTAAAATTAGACAAAAATAATGAAAAATTATGTAATTGTAGAAACCCTGAAAACTGCCCGTTGGAAAATAAATGCCGCACAAAATCTGTGGTATATCAATGCACTATCTCATCCATTGAGAGTCCTAACACTGATAGGATATACATTGGTTCAACGAAGAATAAATTTAAAATTAGATGGAGACAACACAAAAGCTCCTTCAATAATATTAGAAATAGAAATCAGACATCTCTATCCAAATATTTTTGACATTTAAAAGAAATGAATAAAACACCAAAAGTAAAATGGAAAATAATAAATAGAACTTGTAAAACCTGGGATGACCCATACCCTTTATGCCTACATGAAAAACAACACATTATTAAGTTTCTAAATAATGAAAATTTATTAAACCATTGACATGAGTTAACGGTTTTCTGCCAACATCAACAAATTTTCACATTAAATAATTAGCATAAAAAAAGATTAAATTTCATAGTCTAATAAAAGGTTTAAAAGCTTAACCCAATCATAAGATAGAAAAACCCTTATGAAGTCGTCAAACACAAATTGTAGTTCAGTACGATGCATTTATGTTCGAAACAGCCCTTTAGAAAAAATAAATAAATAAATAAAAATAAAATAAAATTCTCTAGACACTTAACAACATATTATGATGCCAAAAGCTACCTTTCATTGTGACTAACCAGACGATGTGCATACATGAATGTCATCATCCTCTTTGAAACGGATACCTGACCCTACCTCGGCTTGACCTCTTTCTGAAGGGGACTGATATGTGGATAAAAATTAACTCTTAGGCCCCCTTATCAAAATGGTCGCCCCAGCCGTTTCCATAGTAATTAATTTTGCGAATGAACATGCTTATAAAGATGTGTAAATTTCAAGATTGGTTATTCCTAAATTTTCGCTTGAGGATGAAACAGGGCTTGATACTTTAATTCAATTTAATTTTAATAATTGTATTGAGGTTTTCGGCTCCCGTTTTTGAAACATGAGAACTCTTATGTAGCAAAGGAATCATATGTTTTAAAAAATAATTATAATATATGTGTGTGTGTGTGTGTGTGTGTGTGTGTGTGTGTGTGTGTGTGTTAGATTTTTTTGACATGCAGAAAATTAGTTTTGGGGGATGAAGCAAATTCTAAATAAACAGTGAAAAAATCCAAAATTGGATTTTTTGTTAGTATTTTGAGAGCAAGATTTACAGTACTTTGCATAGAATAAATACTAACTTGAAGTTGCCTTCTAGGACTAATTGAATAATTATAGTGGTCCACAGCTATTAGGCAAACCAGTTTACCACAGTACCCGGTGTACTGCGGGTGGGTGGTGGACCCCAAAATTTTGCTCTCATACCCTCAATATCACTCACTTTTTTTAGAAATTCTACCCTATTTTACCAATTTCTGGGCCCTCTTCTTCACGATAGAACAAACAGCGATCATCAGATGGGTCTTAATTTGTTTTAATAATTACACCCCTTTCTCACACATTTTACCTTGATTTTGATGATCAAACAGTCCAAATTTTGCAAAATTTTAAGACCTCAGCCATTTCACACCTAATCCAATTGTATTAGACAATTACTCTATATTTTTATTTCATGTGTGATCAAAGAGTTCCTATAATTTTTGACTAATTAAGAGGAATTCAATCACTGCAATCAGATACCACGGATGGGGTATAAATAGGAGTACTTTTCTCTAGTTGATCATGTTCAATTTGACTGTCCAAAAGTAGACATCAAGAATCTCTCATAAATAAAATATAGCTAACACATAGTAATTAGGAATTACAAGAGGAAGTGCTTTTGAGGATGGTTAAAATTTATTGTATAAAAAAAAAAACCTGACAAAACTGAAATAAGTTGAAATTTCAGGTAATTTGCTTTTTAAGCCCCATGCTAAGTATCTAATAAAAATTTCCCGAATTGTTATATTTATGTGTAAATTTACAGGCTTAATTAAAAAAATAACAAAGAAATTTTGAAAAAATCTACCTTTTTGGATTTATCGACAATAAAAGTTTGGACTCATTCATGTCACAGCAGACATTACTGGCGTTGATTGAATATATTTCCTGCAGAATAGACATTCACTTGTCTTGATTACTGCACACACACACACTGATGTAAACAACAGAAATAATGGCTGCCATGCCATAGCTGACAACGACATGAATGAGTGAACTTTTATTGTTGATAACTCCAAAACAGTAGATTTCATAAAAATTTCTTTGTTATTTTCAAATTAGGCATGTAAATTTAGAATAAAAAATAACTATTCGGGAAATTTTTATTAGATACTTAGCTCGGGGCTTAAACAAATTACCCAAAATTTCTTATGGAATCATTGGCATAAATTAGTATAATTTTTTTGAGGCTCTTTTCAAACCATTATCTAATATATATATATATATATATATATATATATATATATAATATATATACCAAATATATCCCAAAAAGACCAAATAGGGCAAAAAATCAACCTCCTCCTATTATCACCCATACACCCCCACAGCTACTGCAATTCACTTGCAGCCTGCGTCGCCCATCTTGGATCCCAAGGCCCATGCTATAGAGGTGGACTACTATACTGCACTCAACTTTACATGCTCTCTTAGGGCAAGAATACCTTAGAAAGCAATATTATTACATAATTAGTATATAGGCATGGAGAGAGAAAGAGGCACAAACACTAATCTTTTCTTCAAAAATACTTTATACTATATGAAAAAAATTGTTTTCTATGAAATGTTATTTTTAAGAAGGGCATATTATGTAATTTTTGTTAATTAATCCCATAACTTAAGTTATAATGTTATAAAAAGATTTTTACTCTTTATTTTAGAGAAATATATATATATATATATATATATATATATATATATATATATTAGTCACCACCATGGAACACAGTATTTATGTCTTAATCTTTCTCCATAGAAAGATTTATTACAAATCTAAAAATTTATTTTCTATTAGAAATTTACATTTAAAATTAAAACATTTAAAAAATTGTTCATTTTGCTATATTTAAAAATAATAAAAAATACTTTGTTCCAAGACATTCTTTTGACATCTGAAGAATTAGTTTTCCTCTTAATTTCTGATTTTAATTACAGAAAGATGAAATAATTATGTTTGTCGAAACAAATGACTACAATGTAACTATTACTTTTTACTGATCATATTTTTGTTTCACAACATTAATTTACATAGTCCTCAATGTATGAACAAAAATGCAAATTAGAATTTTACATTATCACAAACTTCACACTTATAAAATAAGCATGTTGGATGAATTTAAACTTTTTATGACTTTTCAGAACATAACAAATCTACAAGGAGTTTGATGCAAAATTAACATGGAAACATTTAAGATATTTCTCATTCCCAAAAAGATTGCAAATCTTAGAATTTATTTTTTTGTAGTGATTTATAAAAATTAGAACAGCTGCAATAGAAACTCACTCACTTTGTTGAGTATTTTTTTTTTTAATTATGCTACCACCAATTTGCAGCATTCAAAGAATGTATCAGCTTACAACATTGCTCAGCTTCAGTAATACAAATGGCATAGAGCTATCAATATGCTACAACCTCTCTTTCTTAGCAATAGAAACTGTTAAAATAGACTGTCAGATTTTATAATGCAAGTCAATTGGTATTAATCAACCAACTTTGGTAAAAGTTTATAATCTCCTTATAAATCTGATAAATATACGATGTGAATTTCAGCTTATAATATCTATTCTTACTAGAAATATTTACAATGACTTAATTGGTGATGTGAGACTTTATGATGCAACTCTAGGGAAAATTATTGTAAATAATAATAGGACAGTTATTGATATATATTTTTTAATTTCAGATATATAAAGATTACCGGGAGTCATATGAGAAATAAGATATGAAGTTGTTGAGTGATGAAAATACAACATTGCAAATTGTGAAAAGGTTTAACAGAGATCAGAGAACAATAAAAAAAATAAATGTAAAACATTGGCACGATAAAAAGAAGAAATAAAATAATGTAAGAATGTTACAAAATGAGATTTGAGGAAAAAATTATAAGGGCAAAAAGTAAGAAAATTGGATTGACCAGCAAGAAAATATTTTAAGTAGTTGGTGTTACAAATTTAAACAGAGTGAAAAGATACAAAATACTAAGAACATGAAAGCAATCAAACCTTTAAATAAGCATCACAAAGAGAAATATATAGATTGTAAATATGTAGTAGTACTGTGTTCAACATATACTTCACACATAATGGTAAGACATTAGCTAGATGAAGACACTACTGCCACTAGTGTCTTATCATTATGGTGGGGGACTTGTGGGAGGTATTTCTACCACACCCTGTACATGAAAATGGATTTCTCAACAGTAATTTTTAGTGAGGAATATAGAGCTACACTGGATGGACCTGATAGCTAAGACAGATTTCCTTCAAGGAAATAGTCAACAAACATGACAAAACAACTGTGCAGAGGTGGAGTAATGTTTTGGGTTAGTATTGCATACTATAAAATTATGGGTCCCTTCAAAGTTGATGATGATTATATCAAGATAAATAGAGAATTATTGTATGTTCTTAGGCATGATATTTTATGGGTGGTAAAAGTCATAAACAATAAACTTTAAAATAAACATGCAAAACAATGCACCATCACACTCTGCAAAGCTGATTATTGCCCACCTTGCAAAAATAGTTTCAAAGACACTAAATTAATGACATGGTCTTCAGACTCTCCAGATATTCATCCAATAAAAAAACTTATAGTTCATTATTAAAATAAATGTATATAAAAATGGCAAACTATTCAGGCAAAAGATATCTGGGAAGCAATAAAAACTGTTACCAAGTAATGCTAAAGTTGAAACAGTAGAAAAGTTAACAAAATCAATGGATGGAAGACTGATGAAAGTTATGTCAAGGATCAAATGTTTCTTTTAGATTTATTTATTTTTATTTATAAATAAAAAAATTATGTTGCACTGAGTTTGTTTAAATAATAAAATTTTATTATCAATATTTTGAAATACACTATATTGCTCTTAGAATCATATTCTGAAAATGTTACCAATACAAATTTACTGTAAAAACAGACTTACGTAATAAAATATGACCGTGTAAATTAATATTTCATACCCAAGGGATAGAAAAAGTAGTTTATTTTAAACTCAATTACTTGTGATCCATAATACATTTTACATATAGCAAAAGCAAAAATAATTTGTGTAATAATTCTACTAATGCATTTAGTATTCAAAGGTAAAAGCTTCAAACATCATTTTTGATGCTTATAAAAAATGCCTAATATATTGAAAAATACTACAGAAATATTTTCATACTTACATTCTGATATGAAAAAATTCAACATTGTAATACACACAGTATGACCACTGAACATATAGTCACCACAAGTCCTTACTCCTTGCAGTGTCATACCAAATCCAGTTGCTATTTCAAGCGTACGTTTCATTTTAGCCCATACATTACTGTACTGTGGAAATACAAAACAAAAAGAAATTAGATTTGAAAATCAAAACTCTAAAAACAAATTAGTATAATTAACAGCATTTAAATGAGATCAAATTTCTTATGTTCTACTGGGAAAACATACATGCCAATCTATCATGGATATAAAAAAATGCCCAGTTTATTTTTAGACATGGAAAGTCTTAAGTAAATGTTGCATTCATAAATGCTTTGTTCAAATGAGAAGAAATTAGAGAATTTATTCTAGACAAAAACAATGGACATCATTTAACAATTACATTAGTTTTCATCACTTAATTCATTTGCACCACTGGTAAACAGAGTTATATAAGTAATTTCAAGATATAAAAAAAGATGTTTTGATGATAATCATTCATTAAGTCTTTGCTGTAAGTAAAACAAACATAATTAGTCAATTATCAAGATGTAAAAATGTGTACAGTTAAAAATTGAGATTTCTGAAAGCATGGTGTACTGTTTAAATTAGAAGAGCCATTCACATATTAAGTAAAGTATTTATGTTACACTCAGATAAGATTTCTTAATAATGCAATATGAGCTAAGATAGAGAGAGATTATTGTAAACTTTTGTCTACGTCACCTTATGCCCTGGATACTGCATTTGATAACATTTTTAATTTTTTTTTTTTTGAATCATATACATAATATACTCTGAAACAAAAATTAATTACTTTTTAGCTTAAAAACAGAAATGTTTAAAGGAAAAAGTACTTGTAATTCTTTGGTTTTTTTTTTAGAAATAGTCCATTGCTTTCAGAAACAAACTATTTTCTTGACCAATTCTCATTTTCAATAACAATACAACCTGTCTAAATATATGTTCATTCATTTTTATTAAATATCTAACTAAAAAATCAAAAAGGAAGCCAATAATACAATAAACCAATCAATTTGAACTTAACTTCATTTAGTTCAAGTCACTATTGATCAAATTCAATAGGAATTATTTCTTACAAGGCTGAAGCCAACATTGTTACTTATATTTTTACCATTATTCTAAAGAGCAAAATATATTTTATCAACATTTGAGTGATAAATACTCTATATAATTTTTTTTAACCTTGCAATGAACAAAATCAAAATATTTTGTACAGAAATTGCAGGAACACTAACTCCTGTGACATTTAAAAATAAAAAATAAAATAGTAAGAATTATATTTGAATGACAAACATACTGCACAAAGGGGCAACATTGCTTCTCTATCTGCCAAAATATTTTTGGAAATTGAGTCTTGCTTATTAAAATTTTGGTCCTCATGAGACATTGGAAAAAATTTATAAAAAAATTCTTAACAGTGACAATTCTACTTATTTTAACTAATTAATGAGAGAGACAAATAGCACACCAAGATTTTCAGCACTATCAGTATCTTAAATTTTAAATGACCAATAAATAACAAAATTTAGTAAGAACTTAATTAGTAAAGAAAAAAAAATCACCAAAAACAAGAGTACAAACCAATTATTTCCCAAAATTTAAACACAAAGTAAACTTGCTGAGATTGTATATAACTGAAAAGAAATCCTGAAATATTTTCACCAGAGAAAAGAAAGTAAAACAACTCAAGGAAATAGAACTGGAAATAGTTCAAAATAGAATTACAATTTCAGAATTTTGGTTTTCTTCCTCATTTACTTAACATATTTTGTCTTGAGATAACAGCATGTAAATATTATTGTTTAGAAAAAAAAAAACCCTATCATTTATACAAAACATTACAGAGTCCAAATAAATGTAGCTTATAGCTCTCCTAAGCAATAAAATGAGTGATGTCCCATATAGACTACATGTAAGACTACATTTATAACAAACTTTAGGAATATTATAGAATAATAAATTTAGCAATGTTTTAATTTTCTAAAGTAAGGCTTGGTCAATATAGAATAGTCTTCAAAATATGTTCATTTATTACTTTAAGGCTGCATATCAGATGCACAGCAGCAAGCTACATTGTAACAAAGAAATTGTGAACATCTTAAAATTACATATCTTGAAAATAGTATCCTCATAACAGATTTGTGAGTGTATTGAAAAAGCTTCTGCAAATGTGTTCTTAATAATGCGTATTGTGGTGTGTGCATTACTGGAAACCCATATATGTTACATACAGCAGTTGGCTACATCCTAAATGTGATTTCATGTGGATATCAGCCAACTCACCACAGAACCAAAATTTGTTGACAGACAACTGCAGCAAAGGAACAAACTCTTCCTATCACCATCACCTTTTCTCCCTTCTTCATTTCTTTCTTTCTTGAATATTTAGCATCTGTGAAGATTTGTTGAGTGATTTTCTTTTCAAGGCCTGCTAAGAAATTGAAGTATAATGAGAAAAGTCATGTCTTCTTAATCATTTTGATTTCAATCATTAAGTATAGGCAGTCATAAAGATGCTCTCCCCGTGAGACTTGTTCTATACAAAAGTACATACTTTTTGGGGGTTAGGATTACAAATAACCAAGAGAGTAAATATTAAAACAATGCTGACCATATTGGAATCTTTACAAGGTTTTCTAATTGAATTTTTTAAGTTTTCTGTTTAACTTCCTTAATTGTGCAGATTACTTCACCAACCGATTTGATTTAAAATTAGTTGATGGTTTCATTGACAAATTTTAGTACCCACGAGTTTTCAACTTTCAGTTTTGATTTTCACAACAAGGAAGTTTTTTTTTGGTTTTGTTGTTAAAACTATAGAAAAATTCAAATATTGAATGTCAGTTTCAGATGCTCTTCAACTGAATGGCAGGTTGTGCAATGGTAAAGGTTGGTTGTATTATCCACATGTAGTTTAAACAAAAAAGATATGTAGATTTTGAAAATAGTTATGATGATGTTCACAGAAATTTAAAATTTATACTATTTAATAGTGGTTAGTACAAGGCAAGATTATAGTTACTGTATCCTGAATTATTGAAATTCTATAACTATGTCTTATTGTAATTCTCTGCATCACCCTTTATGAGGTTTTGAATTTCTAATTTTACAGTTTGTGGTTCAAATAAAATTTAGTGACTGTCAACTTGAAGAACTAGAGTTCTGTGTAAATCACAAGTATTAATTACCAAATATCAATAGTAGTTAGTTTGTTTTTTAATGAAAAATAAATAAAATACAGGAGTAGTAGGTCATTATGGAGGAATTCATTTTTGTGAATTTGAATTGAATAAGGATTGAAAAAATCCTGTATCAATTACAGATAATGTATTAAGTTAAAAGACATCAAAAGGCAAAGTTAATGACCTTGTCATAATATTTATCACAATTAATAAAAATCTCAGCATTTAAACATTTTTTCATAAAATTTAATAGAAATTATTAGAATGTGCATTAGACATTGATCAATTTTTTTAATTTCTTATTACAAAGATAAATTTGATATCAGTAAGATTCTATAAGAGTTCTAAATGACTTTTAAAGATAACATTATAATTCTCAAACCATAATATTGACTTATAATTCTGTAACGCAGAATAAAAATTACTATGATAATGTTAAAAATAATAAATAGATCTTTAAAACATTTTATAAAGCAAATCAAGACACATAGATTTCTATATATTAAAAGTATTTTAAAATCAGCTATTTTCAGTCTTCATAACTAAAAGTACTCTTGCTAGTGGTTATTTTTTATAGTCAGGAAGGATAAAATCTATTCAGATACCATTATTGTATTAATGACTACAAAATCATATCAGAACAAAATCATTCTTTTTAAGACAATATGAGAAAAACTTAATTTCAATAAAACTATTATTCTCTCACTGATTTCCAAGTTGGGATCAAATTATAATGTAAAAAAATTATTATATTTTTGCTGTTAAATTTTAATCTAGTCCATATGGCCTATTTTGCCTATTTGCATTTTACAACATTAAAAAAAATCAAATAATTTCATTAATGATTATATGGTCTTTTTACAAATTACTCTTTAAAGATTGTCAGATTTCATGTTACAAATGAATATATCCAAATATCATGAATTCATCTTCCTGTGATAGAAACAAAAATGTCATTTTTTTTTGTTTCCCTCAAAGTCATCGACAAGACTGACAAGACACGAATGGTATATTTTTGTTTAAAAGACATGCTTGTAAGAAAGTGCTAACTCAAGGTTTTAAATGAAAAAAATAAAATAGTATATTATTGTAATAAATTTACAAAATTATTTTTGCTATGATTTTCCACTTTTATTTCCAACAAGTTCTCTCAATCACATCCTGGGAATTAATATTGCATTGCTGCAATAAAATTCTTTGCTTCAGTATTTTACTTTACTTTAGTACTACTACTTTAAAAGAAAATGCTCACCTTTTCTTAAGATCTCTATAAACATTAATTAGAGAAGATAGCATTTTTCTTATGAAATGCTTGCACACTTTTTCAGAAGGTTATTATTAATAAAAACATGTTCTCATTCAAAAGATGATCAGCTAACAGGAAAATATAATAGTAATATTATCTTTCTTCAGTGAGAAGATACATCTCTAATTAATATAAACTCCAGAACAAATATTCAAACAACTATATACCAAAATAATGCAACAATTTCAAACTATATGCATGAAAGTTATTCAAGATTATATATATGTCCTTATTAGGTTATTTTATATTTTTTTATTTAAATGTAGTAGTTAATATTTCTCTTTGACTTAAAAAATGAAAAAGTGAAAGAAAATTACCTGTAATTTCTGATAAATTATTCCTTTCAGATATATTGGGATTTTTGTTCTTTTCTTTAAACCTAGAATCTGTAAAAATTCTACTGATACTACTCAAATTATCAAATATCATTTGGAGACAGAATTTATTTCATAATACTTTTTAACGCATTCTATTTAATTTTCTGCTCACTGGAAGCTCATAAATAAAAGACAATCTAATATTTACAATATTCAGTGATTGAAAATTACATACAGTAAATAATAAGTAGTTTGTAATATTCTTTGGACCTTTGATGATTCAGGAAGCAAATATTTAATAAACACACAAAAGCAAAATTGTATTAAAGTAATATATTATTTTATTTAGAGTTTATACAGTCCATTTGAATTTTCAATATTTTATATAAAAAAAATTTAAGTTATCAAATCCTGTAATGGTTATTTTTCTATTATGGCTTAATTTAACAGAATCAGTTTAAGTTATCTGCTAAGTTTGGCATCAGAACATAATTAGGGATGACTACATAATTGATAAACTAGCTACTTTATAATAAGCTGACTTACCATTGTGTCATAACAATGTGCTCACAATTTTACATTAATATTGCTTCTTAAGTTATAGAAAATATTGTGTATGTTTTCATTAAGAAAGACAAAGACAAAAATAATAAATGGTTTTCTTTCTCATAGCTGTTCATTATAATCATGGTTAGCATGAATTTTAAAAGAAAAATGTTTTTTTATTTTGTCACAAACAATTATAGATAGAAGATATTCACAGTAAACTGACACTAGGAGAGTGTTAAATTTTTTAACCGCCATTCCACAATATTTTGGCTGATGCTGCTTTCTAGGTGAAGGATATCAGGTTCCGAATCATAACTGAATTAAATATGAAAAGTAAGCATTGGGTCTGAAAAAAAAAAAAAAAAAAAAAAAAAATTCTAAATCTGGAGAACAGCTGTTCTCAGAATCTGTTATTAATTTTTCTAATTGCAAACATTTCTATTTATAATGATATTCAATTCCAAAAATAAAAAATAATATTAAAAGGAAATCCTACTAACCTTAGCTTCACACTGTAAGTGTACTCCAGGCACAGATAAAGAAGTGATCAGCATTGTGACACAACGTAATAAAAATACAGTTCCCATTAAAGAGAATAAACGTCTCATCAATATGAACCTAAAAAGATACAAATGTTTTTGTTTTTTTTAAATTAAAAATTAAAAATCATAAATGAATATAAAATACAAAACAAGATTTTTAAAAAAATGAAAAAAAATATTACCAATTTTATTAAATCCAGTTTTGCCAAATGATGAATATTTACATCTCTCTCCAAATATATTACAGTTAGAATTCTTAACAATTTTGTAAATGGTATACAATGTATGTTAGTCAAAATTTAAAAAAAAAAAAAAAAAAATGAAAATGATAAACACTTTACACAAACAAGATTCCATGAAATATTAATCTTCATAATTAACTTTAATTTAGATCATCATGTTTATTTAATTTGGTGCTTAATCTAGTTCTTAAAGGTCATTTGATGATTGCGAATCTTACAAAAGCAAGAATGATGACCAGCATGAAGGAACATTTTTATTCCCATTTTAGCTTCTCTTTTGGTAAACTTTGGCAACTAGAATGAAGCTTCAAATTTTGCAACATTCAACGCAAGCCCCAAGTTTCACACTGCATTGGTCAGTTGTTATAACTGGTCATCTTTCCACTTGCTTCTACTGGACAGATTAAAAAAAAAAAAAAAAAAACAATTGGTGATAATAGGAAAAGTAAGATATTAACAAAAGGTTGCAGTTTATTTGTCGTTTGTCAACAAGAAAGAAGTAATTGGAAAAGCAGCATAAAAGATTATGGTGGCTACAAGAGAAAACTTACATAATATGTCAAAATAAAATAAAAATATCCCGTTTTTAAGTTTACTTTTACTACATGAAGTAAGTGCCTTAAGCCATATAAAATTTAACAATGCAAACACAAAATCAGTGACAATAGTCTAAATGCAATGAATGCTTTTTGCTAATTTAGCAAATGACCAATTTATAATTACCCATTATTATAACAGAGTTACTGGTATGGATTTTACAAGTAAATGAATATGAAAAGTCTAGATAGCCAGGATAGGTAATTTGTATTTTACTAGCATATTTGAAGTACCAAAGAGTTTGTTTTACTACTTAAATTGGGTTTTGATATTTTGAACTAAAAAGCCCATAGAAAGTGAGATTTGAACATAAGATATTAACAAGGAAGAAGACAGATATTTGGATGTCATCAGAGACTAGAAGAGAAACTCAAAAAAGTATTCCAGTCTAAAGAAAAGAGAAGTATATCAAAGACACAATTAAATTTGCTTAAGTTATCTGTTGACAAAATGAAATGGCCAGCAGATAAAATTGAGGTGGAACTAGATAGATAAAAGTAAAACAAAGATTTCTTTGTGTACTAAACAAGGAATTTGTTGATCACTAATTTTTCCTCTTTGTAGGATAGGCAGATGATTCATGAAGAAAATAGAAAAATTAAGAATGATTTGAAAATGTAGAGGTGGATGCAAAATTACAATTTGACCAGATAATATTAATTGTTTAAGATAATCTATTTGATAGCATAACCAGTATGAACATACCCACAATGGGCACATAAGCCCCTGCAGTGGGGAGTTTGAACAATCCAAACATGGAGATGCCTGAAAAATGATAAATTGTTTTGGATAATAAATCAAATTAACTCCAGTGTAGCTATGCTGAGATATTTTAATATAAGAAGACCAATTCTAGCACTTCAAAAAGCTGGGGACAATTGTTTGAATGACAGTTGTATTTGCAGTCAGAGAAGACACTGCCAGTTAATATCACTATCCCTTTTCACTACTTCACCATCTCTCACAAAATATTACTCGAAAAGAGTTGGCCAAATGAAGACATGTTCCCCAGTTTAAAAAACGGGGTTTAATTTGCAGACTATGACCAACTTTTAACCCCTTTACTGGTGTAGATGTGTATATACACTTTTATTGAAAGTGTCTTTTTCTGACACAGACAAATAAACACATCCAAAACAATGTTAAAAAACCAGCTACAGATGTGTTTATACGACAATCTTGATTCTTTTTATGCCCTTCTGAGCTTGAAACGAATCCAATTGTCAACTCATACATCTGACAGAGGGGGGGTTAGCCACCACTCATGTACATCAAGGTGCCTCAGTTTCTTAGTACTAAAAACAAATAAAAGATTTGTCTGAAAATGAAATGTTTTTCCCCAAATAATCAGCAGGGTAGGGGTTAAAGACCAACTTTGTCTACAGGCCAAAGACCAAAATTCCCTATTTGAATTGTTGAACTAGACACCAGTGCAAGGCATTGCTGTTGCAATATGTTGTAAACAAAACTGAAAAATATTACATGAACAAAATCAAATAAGACCAATTTGGGTTCATTGAATGTAGCCAAATCTACTGGAATACACAAACTATAACACAAGGCCTAAACAGTAAACACCATTTTCTAAACAAAGGTTGAGCATTTTCATTCTTGTATTTGGTCAGTCAGAGATAGTTTTTGAGAATTATGTAATGCTTTTAGCATTATTCCCTCTAATGAAAAAAAAACAAACTACATATTATAGATAACATTATACATCATACTTATTATAAAACCCAGGTTGTGTGTGTGTGTTCGTTTATATATTGGATCAGATTTCCTACATTTTTCAACCGTTTTCAACAAAACTTCACAGGACTACATAAAATTACCTTGCAATGGTTCTGACAGCGCCAAAAATTGGAAAAACAATTGTTTTTGCACGAAATCAATTTGAAAACACGATTAAGAGGCATCGTGGAAATGAATGAAAGGGGAACAACTCATATCGAGTTATACTTATTATTATAAAACCCAGGTTGTGTGTGTGTGTGTGTGTGTGTGTGTGTGTGTGTGTGTGTTCGCTTATATATGTGATCGGATTTCCTACATTTTTCAACCGATTTCAACAAAACTTCACTTTTTTTTGGCAGGTAGTGTTTCTTATTGTCTTGCACACTTTTTTCTTTATTTTTTACATTCAGAATAATTTAAAAATTCCATTTACAAGACAATTGTTTATAATAAAATTCTATTCAATCGGTACACTCATAATGATTGAAAACAATGTTTTTGTTTGAGTTTGGGTTTGACCAATTCGTAAAAAAAAAAACACAAAACAAAAAAAACAAAAACTTAAGACATGCGTGTCCATCAACTTTAAACAATAATCTTTGTCAATTTTATTTTTCAGTCTTTATGATGGTCGATACTTGATCTATCTCTACTGCTAGTAGACAATATAACAAAGCCTTTTTATTCATTCAAAATTTTATTCATATTAACTAATTTAAAAGATTAGTTATTTTATTTTAAAAAATTATTTTATTACTAAACAAATTAAAATATTACTTATTTTATTTTACTTAAAGAAAGACTATTTTTCCAGTAACACACATTCTATATACAATATATAAAGGCTTTGCAGCAAAAATACACAAATATATTTGATTACAAATCCTTAGTAAATGAACTCCAGTATTTGTATAATGACAATGATTTTAAAAATACAAGTCAAACAATGCTATTTTAGAGTTACTTCATAAACTGGGTTTTTTGTTTGCTATGTCTGAAACTGTGAAACTGATAATTTTTCCTGATGATCACTGCAACTTCAGTTATAAACAAAAGAAGTTTCTTAACTTTGGACAGAGTTCAGCCATTCTTAAGATGCAAATGACTCAAGAACAATTGTCTTCATTGGCTCATATTTTCATATGGTTTTATTTTGATTATAGTTTTATTTTATTATAGAAAAGCCATTCCTATGGTCATTTTTTTTTTAAATAGCATCAGTTGTAGATCAATGATATAAGTAGTTTCAAAATTGACATTTGTAAATAAAAATCTCAGTACAGATAACTCTTTAAAAAATTAAGGGATCAATTTTGCACTGTATCTATATTGTGAACAGAAACACCTTTTTAATTTAAAAAAAAAAAAAAAAAAAAAAAAAAAATTAATATTTTTAAATTCTGACAAATGCGGCTTGAATAAAGTATAATGAGTATTAATCTACAAAAATTATTCCCCACCAAATTTTTACCCGTTTTTTTTTTTTTTTTTTTTTTTTTAGCCGACTAGTCAATTTAAGTAGTGCCAGTTTTATAATATCAGGTCATCCCATAAGTTCTGTCCGAATTTTGAATAAAGAAAACAAGTGACCAAATGTTACATTTAATTACAGATTCAATCAACAATGTATTTTACCTGATTATCTAGGACTTCCTTACATCTATTAACAAGCTTACTAATTCCATTACTGTAAAATTCTTTTGGCTTTGATTTGAAGAACTCACAAATGTCAGTTTTAACCTCTTCCTGTGTTACAAAAGCTGTTTCTTCCAAATGATTGTGTAAGCTACGAAACAAATGGTAGTCTGAAGGAGCAAAATCGGGAGAATAAGGTGGATGAGGAATTTTCTCCCAACCAATCTTTTGTGATGTGATTCTTGCTGTGTGGGGTCGCGCATTGTCCTGATGAAACATCACCTCTTTTCGATTCACTAGCAGGTCTTTTTTTCCTCAAAGCTTGGTTCAAACGCTCTAATTGCTGACAGTATATTTGAGCATTAATTGTTGCATTAGGTGGTAAGAATTCAAAGTGGATTATTCCTTGGCGATCCCACCAGATTGAAAGAAAAACCTTTTGCCCATGAAGTTCTCTTCTCGGCTGTGGCTGGGGTCCTTCCCCTTTACCAAGCCACTGTCTACAATGCTTAACATTTCGATAAAAGATCCATTTTTCATCGCCAGTCACAAGTCTATCCAAAAAAGGTGAAACAAGTTGGCGAGAATGGAGAGAAGAGCAGATGTCAACTCGGGATTTGAGGTTGTTTTCAGACAATTCATGAGACACTCATTTTCCAAGTTTAGAAACTTTTCCAAGTTGTTGAAGATGACGATGAACAGTTGTATGGTTTGAACTGAGAACCACTGCCAATTCCTCAACTGATAAACCAGGATTTTCTTCAAGGGCTGCTTCAAGAAGCTTTTCATCAAACTCAACTGGACATCCAGTTCGATTTTCATCTTCAAGGGTGAAATCTCCACATCTGAATTTTGCAAACCATCTTCT